TTTTTTGCCCCTTCCTTTCCACTCACAAAAATGAAGCCTAATACAATTTCCCCAGCCTTTTCTCTCTCAGCACTCTGGTACCTGGTAGCATTTTAGGAAGATTCTCCCTTCACAGCAGGTCCTACCTTATTTTGACATAGGGCAAAAAATATTTCAGCTTGAAAATGTTCAAATGCCAGGAAGGAAAAAAACCTAATCTTGCATATTCACAGCAGATCTTGTTCCACAGGGTACTGAAAAACTCGATTTACTAAACAAAAAAACTGAGTAGTAGCCAGCTGAAAACAAGTATTAAGTACAGTGCAGATCAATGTCCTTGATTTCAAGCAGCTAGTAGGGTGGGCAAGACAGTCATGCATACAGTGTAAATTGGGAGTAAATCCATTTAAGTCAATGGGCTTCAACATTGCCAACTCATCTTAAAAGACAAGGTTCCTGGTACAGGCTTCTGCTTCCATTGACATCAAAAGAAAATTTCCCAAATGCCCGACAACAAAAATACTTGATGCTGCTGCTGCTTTCACTTATAAAGAAAGCTGAAGGAGGGTTCTTAAAAACAAACATAACACCACAAAGCTTGCAATTACATTGTTGAATTATTACAATAATAGTTTATAATTCCAAGTACATGTCACTTCAGCTTCTTCTAAGCATTCCCTAGAGGACTTCTGAGTCACGTGTCAAACTACTTTTCTGTTGAAGACTTAGAAAATCTGCTCTTCCTAAAGCAGCAGTTCTTTCTCTCTAGCTTGCTGAGTATTTCCGCTGAGCATCAAGAGTTAATCAAGTATGCAAATTAGCTCCAAACATATGACTAAAATTTAGAAATAATCTTGCCTGTTGGGTGTGTAAGAGGGAGGGGGGAGGTGTCTGAAGCAGGACACGGAAGATGTTTCAATTGCAATCTAAATAAATAAAGATAATACATAGACACATATGTTGTCCAGAAAGCAATCTGTACATTATGCTTTCGAACTTTTACACTGCTGTTTTGAGGTGAGTTAAAACATCTTACATTCCAACTGCCTTAGAAAGGCTGAATAAAATTTTACTCATGCACTAAAAGATTGGACTGTCACAAGGTGATGGATGGCTTTTCTATGCTCTCTGTAGGGCATTTCAATACCATAGACTCCAAGTGCTCTTGATTAAAAGGTGACATTCTCATTTAGGGTCCTGTCACTGCCTGAGCTTCAAACCATTATCATTCACCTGCACTGGTGCTTCCAGTGACAAAATACTTACCAAATGTATAAAATACTAATTACTTCAGTCACTTTGATAGAGGTATAAAACACCCTAAAGCAAAGCTCTATTATGCTGTGTGAGGGTTTGAATTCAAAATTAAAAATGCAGCCAAAGGGAGAATAAGATTTTAATTACATTCCCCACCTCTCGAACATTTCTTGAAAACCTAGAGGAAAAAGACCTAGCAATTTCATGACACAACAACTCTCTTCTTACTGGTACTGCTCACTTAAGGAAAAAAAAAATCCAAAAAACTCAAGTTTAGTTTGTTCTCTTCAAAATTATTGAACTTTGAAACACAGAAAGAGACTAACAATCTTCAATAAAAAGCTTTGATTTCCTTTCAAGAGATTTCAGATGCCAAACATGTTTTTCCATTTAAAAACTTTCAAGCACTATGATAGACAAAGTTTTATAACTTACAGATATTTCAAGGAAAAAAAATTACTATTTTCTATGGGGAAAAGCCTCAAATAAAATGTAATTGGGACGCAACTGTGAATAGCTTCACACTATCCCAGAAAAGCTTGGTTTAATTTGCATTTGCCACAAAGCTCCCTTCAGCTGAAATAATTGCAAAGGATCTCTCACTTTTAGATTTCATTTGGTGGATTGGGACTCCTCCTTGTTTATAACATTTGACAGTTTTCTTTATTAAGAAAATTGTAACTTGGACAAATTCATGAGCTGAATGGCATGCTGAAGCAGCTCTGGAACTAAAAATTTCAGTATATATGGAATGAAAAAGCACGTGTTAGTTCATACTTTCACCAAGCGTAAAACTGAGCCCAGATAACAGAATATTCTGATTCCCCAAGAGAAAAAAAGTATTCTAAATTGATGGGCCTTAAGACTGGAAATGGATGGAAGCATACTAGCAAAAAAGACTAGAGTAAATCACAACTGAATTTTTATAAAAACTGCCAGTACGTTCCTTTATCAGAAGAATTCAGGTAAGTCAAGGACTTTGGCTAAACTTCTTCTTAAAGTTTAAAATACATCATCTGATATAGAACAATTAAGGTCAAAGTATTTCAGGAGAAGAGACTGGAGGATTACAATATGCTCATGTGCTGTCAACACTGTAATGCTGCTCAGGGAGCATATCAAAAGCCCTCTGTCGAATAACAGGCTTCAGCCAAGGTAGGAGTAGGATCCAAGTCCCTTCATCTGTGTGTGACTGAACCAGGGACAAGGAAAGCAAAAAGATACCGGCTCCTATGGCTGGCAGGAAGGTAATTCCATTCTGCAAAAAATGCTCACTTTCCTGATTCTAGTTCATTCTCTAAAACACTATCCATTTTGACAGGAAACAACGTTTGAGTAACAAACAAAAATGAAACAACATTTCTTCCAGGAAAGGCAATTAATTAGTTTCAAGTAAAGATAAGGTGTATCTGTCTTCCAGAGCCCCTATTCTATCTATTTTTCTTAGGAAAAATAGACCTGAATTAGAATAGTCAAAGTTTACATTCAGGTGTTATGGACTAACTGGTAAACCGATACAGAAAACAAAACTTTACTTTTGCATTGTCCCTATTTTTTGCATATTTTAGCACTTCCCTCTGTCTTGTCACTTTTAAGTAGATGATAAAAATTCTATTTCTATTACATTTCTGCTAACTACACCTACTGCTGCCGTGATGCATTAGTAAATACTAGCAGTCATACTGCAAAGGCTTAGCACTACAGTCTAAAGTTACTCAGAAGAAGGTTTTTCCATTTGTGTACAGGTACTTAAGACTGTCATACCCAAACACAATGTCAGAAAGACAAATGTTAGGTACAGTGATGTATGGAACATTGCACTTCTAAAGCAATTGAGAATAAAAACATTCTTTCTACAAACCTTCAAAAGTTATCAAAGACATAACGTATCAGAGAGCAGTAATTGTATCGGATGCTCCAAAGGTCTTTAAAAGCGGACAAGAAAAGAAACTATACCTTAGTTTTTAAAAATCTTCAGACTATAAATGTCATCTTTATTGTTTGTCTCATACTATGGGACAAAAAAATATGGCTGTACATGCCCTGAATACTACATCTACTTTACTTCATCTAGCAAACTCAACACCCACCATTCCTG